TCATAAAAGACAAATAATTTTTGCAAGGAAGTGAAAGAAAAAGTTTCTTTAATAACTTCAAAAAAAAATAATTATCACATTAGTAATTTAGTTTTGAATAAATATAACTTTTACGTATGATATACAAAAAAAATTCTCTGTAACTTGAGAAAATGTAACTTTTATATTCAAATATTAATTTGAGATCAATTTTGTTTTAAATCTACAAAAATTTTCAAAATATACATTATGAAATTAAAATAATTAAAATTTCTTCTGCACTTCCTGTTTTTTTGTTAAAAAAAAAAATGAAAGAGAAGTGCATGGAAGAAATGAAAATATGGTAGCTTTGCAGTCTAGTCCATTTACAGAGATTCTGGTGCTGTAAATGATTCCAAACAAGTTCACCCGGATATATGTCCAGAGATTTTCTCCCAATGAACAGAATCTCCATGGAAGAAAAGCTGGCATGGAGAAGCCAGAGAGATAGAGAGAGAGATCGAGATCGAAAAAGAGAGAGAGAGAGAGAGAGAGAGTTGACCTACAAAAATATTCTTCACAGGAAAATCTAAATATGCTCAGATAAGAACTCATCAGCTGGATTAGCAAACCCAAGGTTGTCTACTTGGAAAAATTCAAGGTTTCACCAAAATATTCGTACTTGATTCGATTGTTCACTCCCTCTTCGTCTAAGAATTTCATAACTAAAAGCGTGGGCAGAAACCATTGCCTGATCTTTTCTTTGAGAGAGAACGCAAGAACCCCCTCTATAATCTCACCTAAGCAACTACAACTCTTGTCATTAGTTGGACCATCGTACTTTTTGAATATCAATCTGTGTCAAACGCCAAAAGAGCTCTCTGGGAAATCAATGCGAACAACCTTTCAAATCAAACTACAAACCAATGCTCACATATGAACCCAGTTGATCTCCGTGTTGGATTTCCTTAGCTGTTATGTCTGCACTAAGCAGGCATTACCAAGCAGAATTTTGGTATGCCTGAACAGGATTTAGTCTTCAGTTTCAGAATCCAGAACTTGAAGGATGTTCAAGGCCGAAGAACCAAGATGCATGCCCCGAACGATACCTCCATATCCAACCTTAATCCTGTGGCATAAAAGCAAAATGGAATCCCATAATGCTGTTCTTCCCTGGTAACAAAAGAATAAGCCATAGTTATTTCAACCTGTAACTGAGACATCTATATGTCAAGAATGAGTACTCATTTTATTCTCAAGAAAAAAAAAAGTAGTGTAAGTTATCATTTCCACGAATTGCATACTTCTTTTTACAGTAATTTCCCATCATAGCCAACCTATGTTATTGTAACTGAAACATCTAGATATCAAAAAAGAGCCTTGATACCAATTTTAGCCAATTGAAAGTGGCTTTGGCTCATGGATTGCATACTAGACTCCAAAATCACAAATGTTCATTATGCAAACCAAATACAGAAGGATGCAGCAAATCATGGATGAATTCATGAAACCATCCGTCGTCAATGTAAGTTTGATATTGAAGTGGTATCATGCATTAAACTAGAGTGGGGCTTTGACTCGTCTGATGGCACCTAGTTTAAAGGAAAGTTTTGCCATTTGTATTTTCAGTTTGATTAACACTAAGTTGCCAGGACACTCTTGTGAAGGAAAGACTAGACGGAAATACATGGTTATAAAGCTATTTTACTTATAGGTAAATGATTGACTTATGAAGACATTTATTTCCTCGACTTTAAAACACTGATAAAACGGAGTAATTAACTTATATTACTCAGTCTAATAGATTATCACATTGGTCTGATCAACTCTTATTCTGCATGATGATCCCTCACAAATTTCCATCTGTGTCTGTGCAACTGTTAAAAGCCTTTGATATGACTGTCTGATTTTAAAAAAGAAAAAGAGAGAGAAGAGAGAAATAGAAGAGAAACAGAGAGGAAAATTTGAACAATAATTTTACATTTTTCCTTGATTGAATATAACATAAAAATTGAGCCTTTTATAAGCTATAAGCAATTAAAACAACCACTATCATGACAGTAATCAATGCAGCGGTGGCTGTTGTGAAGAAAATTCAAAATATTAACTTCGAGTGTAACCTTAATTGATACTTGTAAAAGATTAATTTACTCTTTTTATTATTTGTCTTTTTTACCCTTGATGTCCTGACAGCAACACTGAACGTCTACAAGGGCATGTTGTGAAGTGCTCCTTCACACTACTGAATACTCTGTTCTCATGAACCATGTATTGACAAAGAAGGTTTTTTTTTTTAAAAAAAAAAGCCTTTATACCTAATATTTCACCTCTACCAGATATTCTATACCATGTCTAAATCTAAGATTATGTTTGTCTTCCCTAGGTTGCCTCTTATGTTCTCAAATTTGTTAAAAACATTACCTGAAGAGAGAACTGCAGCTTCTTCTCCCAGTACAAAGCAAAAAATGGAGGGTTTTGCCTTCCGATAACCAATATACCAGCTCCTGGATGAAGAGTTGAAGGAACCCCAGATATGACAGCAATGTACTTCTCAGGAAATCTCTCTTTTGGTGGCAAAACACCCAAGAACAAGGGGTTCTTGCTAGACTGAACTCCAGCATGGGACATAGGATCCACGTGTAGCATCCATTTTGGATGCTCCAGAAATGCACAAAATAAGTACAAGAGCAAGTGAGAATCAGTTGGAAGCTCAAATGTCCACTTCTTATCCTTGTTATAAACCTCTCCCCTTCCAAGATACTCGTAATTCTTCACACAAGTTCCTTCAGCAAGCTCTGTAAAATTTCCAAGGCAAGTATCTCAAGGTTTATTACTCCTAATGATTAATCATATATTACCTTTCAGATTAATTTGAGATGAGCATGTCCAGTTATAAGAACAATATAAATCATTAAGTTTCTAAATACCTTTGATCCTTTGCACTGTATAATCTGCAGGAACACTGCTTTGTGGTAGCAAACCTTTCACCCATTCCCCTTTCATCAAAGCCTGAAGCCTTTGATGTTCAGTGATGGCATCTACACACTCCTGCATGATTGGGACCAAAGGATTTTGCTGTTGGGCCTGCTGTGGATTTGCCAAAGATAACTTTGCTGCATGTGATGTGATGTGATGTGATGAGATGGACCATATGAAATTTTTAGCTAAGAACCAACCCCATTCTAGAAAAAGTAGAATAAGATATAATGATAATATTTTTAGAAATAGTGACGGAGCAACTTACGCACGGAAACATCAATGGCTTGCACAAGAGTTGCACGTAATTGATGAAGAAGTCCATCTTCATCAAGACTATATGCCGGTTGCCATTCCTTTGACCCATCAATTGGAGAGGCAGTGGTAGGAGCTCCACTGATTGGTAAGCTACTTCCCACTTGACTAATTGTGATTGAAACACCAAGCTTAGCAGCTGCTTGCATCACCTGTAAGCATCAAAAGCAAATGATAATGCGATGTTGTTTGATGAAGCACAAGGTGCCTTCACATAAATATGCACAGTTGACTGACAGATTGCAGATTTGCAATGTACACAGCCAGATCTCTCATGCTAAAAAGAGCAATGCAGCAGACACCAATGCTCCGAAAAAGTTTTCTCAGCCTTCTCCCATTTATTTTCTTCAAGTTCTTAACCAACCTCACTTCTAGATTTTGAGGACTCACCAACATGAAGGGGTGAAAATGTCAGAAATCTAGTAATAGATCTGCTTTCTCGGATATACATTATACTTCTCTCAAAATAACCTACATTCTTCTCAACTAAAATCTAACTTCCAAATTATTCTTTACTGACCACATAAACACTATGTGTGTACCAATTTTTGATAAGTACATGAAGAAGTAATGAGTACACACCTGAATATGACTCGTTTCTATCTTGTTGAGAAGAGGTTTAAGCAATGCTGAAGAGAACCATTGCCTAAGGCCATCTCGCCACTGCTCAATTTGAGGATAGATGCCCAAATGCTCAAAACCTTCCACAGACTCTTCCATGGTCATTGGTGGTGGAATATCACCCTCTCCTTTCTTCGGGGGAGTCGTAAACTTCTGAGAACCAGGAGACATCCTCACTGGCCTCAGTGGTGTACTCCTTGTAGTTCCTGATTTATTAGCTGAACTTGCAACAGTATTGGGACTAGCCACGCTAAAACTGCCAATAGTTGGTGGTGGTGTTGCTAGTTTTCCTGCTGATTCAGTAATTTTCTCATCTACTTCAGCCAAGAATTGTTCAAGCTGTTGTTCTGTTATTATCTCTTTGGTGGAGGGGGCTCGTTTATTTGACCAGGGGGTGACCACTGCATCACACCCAGGTGAAGTTTGAACAGAAGGTAGAGGTGAACTGCTAGCAGGTACAAGGTAAAAAGATGAGGGGGAAGCGTGTTGTTTGGATGGAGTGCCAAAAGAGTTCATCTTATTCCCACTACTAGTGCTTGATTTATCAGAGCCAACTCGAGGCATGTGAGTCAAACTTGTAATTGGATGATGTAATGGAACAAGTACATCAGAAGGTGACACGGGCTTGGACTTGGGCGGTTTCTTGGAAGAATCAGCTACAACTTGATCCACCTTTGACTTCATTCCCAAAAGCTCTAGCTGACGATTTGTTAGTTGTTGCCTGTCCTTTATTCCTTCAGAGGAAGACTTAACCGGCACGCCAACAGCATTTTTTGCTCTACGAAGAGAAATGGCTTTGAACAATGCAATTACAGTGCCAAGAAAGATCAAGCTCACTGCAATCTGCATAACCTTGACAAACAAATCTGAGGTGCAACAAAAACATTTAGATAAAGCCACATCAACGAGAAAAGTGAAGACAGACAACAAAGGGATCCATTAGTCAGCAGAGAACTTACAAGCTGCCTGCTCAGATAAACTTCTGACCCTCAATATGTCAATCACCCCATTTTCCCTTCAACAATTTGAAACAAAATATCGTGTCACTCAAATATATGACAAATAAATTAAATACGTCATAAGGCCATAATTAGTACATATAAACATCATTATATGTCCAACTTAAATTTTCTGTTTGGAAACAATAATAAACAGACAATTTTTTGGACAACAAAAGCCTCCTATGTTTTTTATCTTCCACCAAAGAATCAACTTGATTAGGATGTCAAGGAAAGCATAAAAGATAAAATGCCGCTCCCCTTTTGTTTTATTGGCTTTCTTGTCAACAAAATAGCACAACCTCCGGATTTACTTATTTAAGAGCTCCTTCCCTTTCTCTCATAGCCTATGAACAAAATATTTGAGACTTGAAATATTTGAGACTTCCCTTAGTTAAGGGTATGGTTAGAAGAAATAAATTATTTCTCTAAAATTCATTTGCTTCAAGCATGAGAGAGTAAAACTTCAACGCTTGAGTCAAATTTTATGATCCCAATTGTGAACTAAGTCTACGTTTGGAAAGAAGCTCCCTGAAAACTAACTGTCAATTCATTCCAAATATATACTAAAAATCAAACAGCCCAGATAGGACACACTCCACAACAATTGAAAGCATCTGATAACAAGAAACTAAAACCCAACAAAGCTCTAATGCTAGTTCCTCAAAGTCAAGCTCCACTTAACAACAAACACAAAACGCATAGGAAACTACAAAAACACTGATCCCTTTTTCTAATCTCACGCTCTCTTCATAATTTTAACACCACTTCAACAAATTCTACTCCGAAACACAAGAAGCACAACCCCGGGGTAAAACCCTGGCAAACCCTAACCTATCAAGTACCACCTCAGTACGCATAGCATTCTCTTGAAAACATAAGCACACAAGAAATAAACACGGAGCAACATAGGGCCTGTCATGGTTCATGCGTGTGCGCGTGAGTGCATACTGCTCATAATTGAAAGCGGCACCTGGAAATGAAGGAAAGGAGAGCGAAGGCGGAAGCGGAGGAAAGAGAAAAGATGAAGACGATAGTAGGATTTGAGGGCTGGAGACTGTTGGCTGTGAGGGCAGCGGACAGGGCTGGATTCTGGTACACTGTGAACTTCGAGGGCTGCAATGGAGGCGAGCTCTTGTTGTCTCTCGCCCCTGATTCCATGGTAATGGATTGACAATAGTAGCTAGGGTTTGGGTTCTAGAATTGATGCGATTCCTCTTCTTCTTCCTCTTTTGTTCTCGGAGTTGATGACACTGGTTTCGAGCTCAAGTCCTTTAGAAACAATTTGCTGCCTAAAACGGGCAGTTTTGGAGGGGATTGGGGTTGAAGTTTGAAACCCTTTTTTTTAAAAAAAAAGAAGTAAAATGACATATTGTTGATAAAGAGAAAATCGCACAAAATGTTTTTATAGGTAATAATACTACATGACCCACAAAATTATGTTGTCCTGCCCATGGGTCTAAGACATGGGCTATGCCATTTTGTTCTCGAGGGATTTAGGTTCAACTAATATTACGTTTAGTTGTGAATGCTTTAATCTCTTTCGCAATAAGCGTCACAGGAGATCGCTTTGCAATCTCTAGGTGCGACAATACCTAAGAGGGAGTCGTTGCAGATTTAGGCCGATAGGAGCACGAGCATTTTGGTTATGGTTGTTGTTAAGTGTACTGTTTCTATTTCAATAAGTAACAAATGTTGACAGACAGTTTTACAGTTTGCGCGTACTTACATCTAACTTATTGATCAAATGTTACTACCACAAAGAAACGTTCGTGTACGAGCGTTAAATTATAAATAAGCGTTACACGTTGATCTCTTGTGATTTTTTGAAGAATCGTGTGTGTTTAGAGTTTACAATAAGATTTTTGCTATTAAATGATAAAGTTACTTCAGTAATATATTACATATGCATTTGAGTTTTTTACTTTCACGTGTAATTTTATTTATTGACCTACAATAACATATATACTAAAGTGAAAGAAATAAAGTAGCACTTTCTTATAAAAAAGTTATCATACATCACATTTATTGATCTATAAAAAAATGTGAATTAATTTGCAATAGAATGTCAATTAAAAGCATCAAATGGTATTCTCTACGAGAATATAGTTATATAAGTCGAATTAGTTAGTATTAGAGAATAACATGATTGTAGGTATCTTATTATATGGCCACATAAATTATAGGATAAGAGGCAATCGACATGTGAGTTTCAGTATACAACCCACCATCATGAGAATTTCCATCGTCGATCATAAGGTTTAAAATTTGATAATATGTATGCATCTAATTAAAAATCTATTATTAAGAAAGTTGGTAGACTATTTTGTTATAAAAAAATTATATTTAAATTTAAAATATAGCCCTATTTATTCTCAATAGGCTGTGCTGAAAATATATTAATTTTTACGACTACTTCTGCAATATTATAAAGAAATATTTAGAACAGTATGATAATATTTAAATATTTATTTATTTATCTATTAACGGGTTAATAGTGATATAGTTAAAGAAAAATATTTATTCATTTATAATATTAAGAACTAAGTTAACCAATATAGATTACGATAAATATTAAATTTTATTTATTAAAATAATTATAATTAATTAAAAATTTAATATAATAATTTTTTATTAAAAAATAATATGTATTCAGTAAATAGATAATAAAATTAAACTACTATTTTTATAATTAAATAAACTTAAAATTTTAAATCTAAAATTAAGTACGTACAATAATTCAAATAATATATTGTTCATTATAGATTTTCAAAATTTATAACTTACGAATTTTTATATATTTTCTCATTTTACAATATAATTATTTGTAAATTATTTTAATTTAATTTATGATCTCATATAACTTTATAACTAGATATAATATTAAATTTAGGATCATTATGAATTAAAAAAAGAAAATCATAATTTGATCTTAAAAAATTATTAAAAAAAAAAAAAAAACTAAACAATACCTTATTTTGACCTTTAAAAAAAAACCAAACGGAAACGAAATTAGATTGTCTACGCAAGTGCGTTTCGATAACGACGATTGCTGACTCATCAGTTACATCCAGTTAGGCCCGATTAACAGATAATCACGCTGTATCCAATTAATGGGTAAAATCGGCTGGTTTTAAGTTATGATCAAGTGCAACCGGTTGTAGCAGATCGAGGATGGCATTGTGGTCAACGAACGATTTTAAACAAATAGAAACGCGACACGTGTTTTTAGATAGTCGTCATTATAAAATGATTACTCTGTGGCTCCCTCGACGGTAATTACAGAACAGACTATTATCTCTATATTAATTCGCAGTTCACCTCTTCATCTTCAACTCCTCTCACTTCTCACCACCTTCTTCTCTCAGAAAACTGTAGAACTCCGGAACACGCACTCTATCTCTATCTCTCTAGAAATCAAAGCGAGTAAACGATGCAGAGGCTTTTTGCAGTGAGGTCTATATTGAGTTCTGTCATTACTAGGCAAAGGCGGTTTGCTTCTCTCTCCAGTTCTCTTCTCTTCGACGATACGCAGTTACAGGTTTCGTTTCAGTTTTACACGAATTGCATAGCTGTTTTATGCATGTTAGATTGGAGTTATGGAGCTTATCTCAATCAGCTCGTTAATAGGATTTGATTGTTGAGTAAATATTTGTCCGTTCTTGTTGCTTTCTTGTCCTTACAAAAGCCGTGTACAAATTTGCTTCGTCTAGTTGACTGCTATTTATTTTAATTTATGAAAATAGACAAGAGAAGTTAGTTTGGATTTTTGTTAAGCATTATAGAGGAGATAAAATTGGTTTTGAATTCGTGTTTATATTATTGGATTTAGAAGTACAGATAAAGTTTTGATAATGTTCTGACAACTGAAGGAATATTTTTGTAATTTTTTTTTGAGTCGGGGATGGAGGATAGTACTCTAACTCTAAGCGCTGTGCTATGATGCTCTTGGCAACTTTTGTAAATTTAACATTCCATTTGACAGGTAATAGTAAGTATGATATCAAAAAGATTATTACGTGGTAAAAATCAACTCCTAATGTGACTCTGGCTAAATAAAGCTGTGTTTTGCAGTTATAGCTATAATGAGTTAGGTAGAATAAGATATTAGATTTTTGGAAAAAAATGTAGCCGCATTTTGGTTTCCTGAAAAAAGCTTACTCAATTACATAGGAATTATTATTGCTGGCCAACTACTGACTCCATAATGCACTGACGTTTACTCGATGATTGCAGTTTAAAGAAAGCGTTTCTCAATTTGCACAAGAACACATCGCCCCTCTTGCATCAAAAATAGACCAGACAAATTCTTTTCCCAAGGTTTGTGTAAGATGGTGATCGTCAATCCGTCTCATCCCCAAGTGCCTATTTTCCCTTTAAAAGATTGATGTATTATGCCATGTTAGGTGATGCTTCACCCTTGCTCCAGGATGTTAACTTATGGAAGCTCATGGGAGATTTTAATCTTCATGGAATAACTGCACCAGGTAAAGTTGTTATGATAACACAGGATTTGTATTTGACTTTCTGTGTAGTGCATCCATAACTCATTTTTGCACTCATCTTGCTAAATATATGCTTGAGTTTGAACTGATTTCTGTTAGTTGTTCACACAAGATCGAGAAGCATTTTTCTCAAATAGTCTCTTTCTCTCCTCCAGGCTTTTAATTTTTCATCTTAATAGTTATTGCTAGTAACTTTGTGTTAGATCAAGTGGTTTTTGAAACTGAACTATACACTATTAGTAAAGTAACTATACACTGAGATTTCGTGTTTTCTAAGTAGCAAAGTAGCTCTTGCAATTGTTTAGATGGATTCTAAGAAGGTAAAATTTGATTCTCTTATAGAGGAATATGGAGGACTTGGTCTTGGTTACTTGTATCACTGTATAACATTGGAAGAAATTAGCCGGGCTTCAGGATCCGTTGGACTATCCTACGGTGCCCATTCTAACCTGTGCATCAATCAGTTGGTAAATATGACAACTAAGTCTCAGAGGTTATTAGTTTGTTACTAGGTTAACTAAGAGCTAATGGCAGCTTTGCAATTTTATAGGTGAGAAATGCGAATCCTGCTCAAAAAGAGAAGTACTTACCAAAGGTTCTAATTTTCATCATTAAGTTAATTTACTAATTTTTTTTACTGTAAGATGCATTCTGGATCCTAGCTGCGCCCTTTTATGAGAATTCGGTTATGCTTAAAAAGATGAAAATGCAGTAACAACTGCAGTTCTTCACCGGCTTTGATAACATTTTTTATATTGCTTTATAACCAAAATGCAGATTCTACATTAATTCTTAAGGTTGAAATATGCTTATTTGGTGGCTTTTCTCCTGTACCCACTACTGCTTTCTCTTTTATTCAACTCAAAACACTTTCTTGTTCTTTTATGCTTAGAAGAAGAAGGCAGATTTTTTTTTTCTTTTGAAAATAGAAACTCAATATGTATTCTGAAGCCTCTACCTTTGAGGTTGATTTGGACACTTTGATTCCCTCTCCACTCCCCCCCCTTCCCCCTTTCCTCCCTTTCATGTTTTTTTTTTTCCAATATGATTTCTTTTTGGCTAACCAATTATCTCTTGTTGAGAAGCTTATTAGTGGAGAGCATGTTGGAGCCCTTGCAATGAGTGAACCCAATGGTAAGTTCCAAGAAATTCTTCTTATCTTATGTTTTATATATATATATATATATATATGTATATATATATAGAGAGAGAGAGATAGAAAGCTAATGGCTATTTCTGTCTTTTTTTTTTTTCAATGTAGTCTGATTTATATCTAAATATTCTCTTCAGCTGGTTCTGATGTTTGTAGCATGAAATGCAAAGCTGAGCGTGTTGATGGGGGTTATGTTCTAAATGGGAACAAGATGTGGTGCACCAATGGTCCAGTTGCTCAGACATTGGTATTTCACCATGCAAGATCAATTAGCTTAAGAAATTTCAATGCTATGTTTGAAAGTAATTCTCGTTATGTTTTTTTTATGGAAAATTGTGCTACCAAGATGCATTTAGATTCACTTTATTTGAAAATCGTTATAGCTACAATGTTAGTGATATTTATCTGATTTATTAATTATATTTCTTCTATAGAAATTTCCTTCATCCCTTTACTGATTTACGGAATTGGATCAGGTTGTTTATGCAAAGACTGACACCACGGCTGGCTCTAAAGGAATTACATCATTTATCATCGAGAAGGGAATGCCTGGGTAATTGAGCTTACTTCATGTACTGTTCAGAATAGCAAGTGTAACTTTTTGCTGAACGAGTATCAAAAATTTAGTCTGGCAACTTCTTCATCTACGTTATGGCTACTGCATGTAGGAGTTCAACAGAAACTGTGAATTGATTGTAAAGTTACTTGAAAGGTTGGATTATATCCTTCACATAGACAGATCAACTGCTATGAGTTGGAAAGGCTGGTCGCAGGGCTACTTGAATTCAATTCTCATTTAGTAAAGAGGTTGATTACAGTTCGTGGCAAGGACTTGTTTGATGTTGTTTGAAGCAGAAATCATTCTTTGAAATGAAGACATCTCATTCTGATAAAAATGAATGGAAGATTTTTCATAAGAAAAATCTACATGTCTAGAACTAAAAGCATTACAAGGGAAAAATGAGTTTTTACAAATGCTTGTAATTTTAAGAACTAGGAAGGATGGACAAAGCTAAAAGTGAGATTCAAAAAGAAAATGCAAATATGTGTTTTAACTGACTTGGTATCACTTGATTAAAAAGCTAATCATGACTCTGCAGATTTAGCACTGCTCAGAAATTGGACAAACTTGGTATGCGAGGAAGTGACACGTATGTCTACAGTGCTTTAGACTGAAATTATTTATTTAGAATCAATCCCCTCTCTTCCTTGCTTATGCGCTACTAATACTGATGATGCTCTGAGCAGATGCGAGCTTGTCTTTGAGAATTGTTTTGTTCCGGAAGAAAATGTTCTTGGCAAGGAAGGAAAAGGTTCTGCAGTGTTGTAAGCTTATTTTTTGTCAATATAGTCCAGATTTTGTGCCAGTTAGTTCCACTAGTCTGCTGTACAAACTGCAGTTATATCTAAGGAACTGATTTTTAAAATCCTAAAGTAGGTGCTGAAAGATTTTCAAAATGCAAAGCAACAAAAATTTGAGATCCTGATTGGAAATCCCATACAGAAAACCCATCCTTTATTTGAATAATATCTGAAGCATAGGAACTTGCACAGTGTTTCATTATTATACACTGTAACAGCATAACCAGAATAGTTTTGATTCTAAAAACAGCATTCTAGGATGTTACTCTCATAAATATATTTTGGTGATAGATGATATGGCGTTTTGAAGCACTGGAAACCTTCCAGTTTACCACTTATGCTGTTAAGGATTGTTCTGCACTTGAAACATTATATTTTTACATCTGAAGTTAGTGATCTTACTGCACATTTTAAATGTTGGTAATACTTGAAATTACAGCCTATTTACTGCGCGTCTAAAATGTCAGTAATACTTGAAATTGCAGCCTATACCAAACTCCTTTTTGTTATTAAAAAAAAAAAAAAGAGAGAGAGAGAGAGAATTACTTTGGCATTTAACTGCATGGAAACATGTAAACAGAATAACTTTGTTGGTGCCTCTTCCAAAGGGAAGGTGTAAGTGCTGCTGATGATTTTACATACCAGCAATGAACCAAAGTTTTTTCTGCTATTGTCATGTCTCTGTTACTCCCAGTGTTTTCTTAAGTTTGCTTCAATTGAACTGTCAAGGAAAAGACGACTCTAATAATATTATATTAACATAACATGTTAATTAATAAGTGCCCTTTCTTTTGTTATGTTAATTAATAAGTGCCCTTTCTTTCAGGGGTTTATGTCATGATGTCAGGGCTAGATTTGGAGAGGCTTGTTTTATCAGCTGGTCCACTTGGTATCATGCAAGCCTGTCTTGATGTTGTACTTCCTTACATTCGGCAACGAGAGCAATTTGGTCGTCCAATTGGAGAATTCCAATTTATACAGGTTTATGTTTATTATTTTAGTGGCATAATCTATGTTCCTGATGTTTTGTGGCTGATGCTTATGTCGCAAGTGTGGCCCTCATGCAGTTAACTTTATTATCTGTAATTACAGGGTAAAGTTGCTGATATGTATACTTCGTTACAATCTTCAAGGTATAGGGGCCAATTGCATAATGCATTTTTTTCTTTCAAAACTTAATTTCCAGATGGCAGTGCTTGAAGATTATTATTGTTTCAGGTCATACGTCTACTCTGTTGCAAGGGACTGTGACAGCGGAAAAGTTGATCCTAAGGTACTAGTAGACCTTTTTCCTCTTATATTCTGAACTTACCACTTAGCTTAGTTATGAGTTCACCATTCTGAATGTATTATACAGTTAAATATCTTACTAATGCTCAATTTGTGTTGGAAAGTTTCATATATCCTATTTCTGGCTATTAGAGATTCATCTTTGGGTCCCATATTTATTTGTCTTGTCACTGGTATGCTTGTGCAAAACCTTCCCTTCCAGTTATCTTGCACAACCTCATGTAATACCAATGGCATCTAAGAAACTCCTTTGGAGATTTCATTTTGCTGAACACTGTATCATGGAATTCAATGTGCATTATTAATTTATTTTGCGTCTTTATGAGTTCAACAACCTTGATTAAAAGTGAGTATACGCTAAAAGAGCAGGTCCATTTTGTCCGCGTGGCCAGTTCTTCTCTTGGTCAAGTACTACGGTCACAAGAAACTAGGCTTGCACTCTGGCAACAGCCTTCAGAAGAAATAGGAAAAAAAGTCTCTTCTCCCATGAATTTATACTTTGAAGCTACCTTGCCGCATGCTTTAACTTAATTAATTATCTGAAAAGGAAAATCTGATTAAGCTGAGAGACAGCCTTTGATGACAAATACTCTTTATCCCATCAAATTGCAGTTTTCTGCGACTCTTGTTGGGCGTATATTTCTGGAACAAAACAATATCTTTATTGCCATATCACCATCCTTCTTAATTATTAATGGTTGAATTGTTTATGGAAGAGAGTAAAAAAAAATACAGATCATATTTGATTACTAACTCGGCTCATGACCTTCTGCATATGTTTCAGGATTGTGCTGGAGTTATTCTCTGTGCAGCTGAAAGGGCCACCCAAGTTGCTCTGCAGGTAAAACAACTATGCAATCCTTCTTTTAGGATAGAGTGAGTCAAGCATATGAAGAAGGCCTATATCAACTCAACAAGGACTAAAAATAGGTTATTGACGTTATTTTTCTTGAAAGCCATAATCAAAGAATTTTTAAGGCCATGTTTGGAGCAAATCAAGAATTTTTATGCAATTCATTTGGAAATTAACATTTAGGTTAACTATGAGCCGTGAAAATTATATTAGAAGATGATTAAAAACTTAGATTATGTATTGATGGAATTTTGGATGCACTGCAGTTTTATTTGGAATTCATAATAAGCTCAATTTTCATCATCTTAGATTAGACTTTTGAATACTCCTAATTAAACTACGTACTAAACTCTAGGAAATAACATAGTCTGAGATGTCATTATTCTTGTTGAATTAGTGGGGGGACAAAAGGTTCTCATACAAGCGATTAATTTCAAAAACACTAATCATATATGGAGAAGCACTAATTCTCACAACAAAAGAATCGGGGAGCTGCATCTTAATGTGATATAGCTTTTTTAACATATACTCCAATCATTTGGTTGGTGGAATTTTGCAGGCTATACAATGTTTAGGCGGCAACGGTTATGTAAATGAATACACAACAGGACGTCTTCTTCGAGATGCCAAACTCTACGAAATTGGGGCCGGAACGAGTGAAATCAGGCGAATGATCATTGGCAGGGAACTCTTCAAGGAGCAGTGAGAGAGATTTGAATTTAAAGTTGGCTGGGGGTGAAGCAGCATCTTCATCTGCATAATTATTCTTACGACAATTCTGAAAATTGAAAAAAAATGTAATAAGCCCCATTCTCCTAATAAATTTATATACTGTTAAAAGTTTACTAATTGCAGAGGAAACGTATCATCTTATCTATCAGCTACGGTCTGGTTGAGTTGGATCAATGCCACGCCCCTTTTACCTGGCCGTTGACGGGGAAGTCTACGATATATACTCCATGACAAAGAAGAATTTATGAGATTTATATCTTCCCGCAGGGTGCGGCAGGTAATTATGTCAGCTTCCTTGACACTAATTACTAAAATCCTAGTTTGCTTTGATTAAATTTCTCAATAGCACAGTAAATATAAAAGAAACTATTTTTTGAAAGAAACCACAAAGATAAAAGCACTACACAGAGGTAAAATAAGATTAGTCTCACACAAATGTTGTTGTTCTACACAACAATTAATACAAACACTAGATTAGTTTTTTTGGAGGAGCAAAGAGAAAACAAAGAAACAAACATGGTCTTAAACAAACTACCTTCCATCATGCTCTAACGTCAACTGACAAACTAAACAGACCAAAGACGGGGCATCTAGATTCACACAAGTAATAGGTTGTACACGCAGATCTGCAAACATACTGCCCAGGAAAGAAACCATTATTTTTAGTAGTTTCAAACCCTAATTACGGTTGGGGAAGAGTCTGGTTGACCCACTGAGGAAGATTTTGATGCTTCCATTATGACCGGTGCTTGCTCCAGACAACTCTGCGTGTCATCATTGATCACGCCCAGAGTCATCTTCTCCACTTCTTCTTTGGTGTATATGTGGATCTTGGACACCACATCACAGAATTCACTGCCACCAAAAGATAAAAGAAATGAAAAAAACTTGGCACCCAATGATTGTTAAGAAGATCGTAATCGAGAAATCACGGATGGGTTTTTTTTTTTGGGGGGGGTAAAAAGAAAGAAAATTTGTAGAGGGAAGTTAAATTTCCTAGAATAGCAAACAGCATATTCTTGAATTTCTTGGTAGGATTTGTTAGCAGAGAAAGTTAGGGTTTATCAGAAGCTCAGCTTTACTGCCTTACACCCAAGAATCTCTCCTCTTTGCAATTTGGGCTTACTATTTCTAAAAGATTATTTTCAACAATGCAATTTCACT